CAGTCCTACCGAATGTGTAAGATCTAGAAAAACCGAAGTGAACGGAGAAGTTCACGGAGCTAGGCCTAGGCCCACTGGGGCTGTAGTGCCAAGGGGGAAAAAAACCGATAACATGACCTACCACAATATTAACATTTTCTCCCGGACACCCTCTGTATGAACAAATAAACATGTAAGATTATATATAGACATATAAGAAGGGATCTTGGAAAAGGGATTTGAGAATTACCACATATAGCAAGTCTCGCCACGGCCTATTCTTCGGGTTGTGCTGTGAAACGTCTCAAACTCTTCGCAGTGTGGTAGTCCGAAAGGCTTGTATAAAGTTCGGACGACTGGAAGGCCTATCTGATATTGTATCGTTTTAATATGTTCAGTTTCCTTCTTTGCGGGACAGCTCAGTTTTCGTCATTATGCCCGTTATTTCTGCCTGGGAATATCTTGAGCACGGCCGGTGTCACTGAGTGATAACCTCCTTTAACGTACAGTACCTCAGTTTTTGCACCGATTGTACTTAGGCCTTCCTTTATTTATCTGAATAAACAGAGATTAGATACATAGGTACTGTAAGCAATTTTTCTCTTTTAACTAAGACTGTCTCTCTCTCTCTCTATCCTGGAAATAGAGCACGAATTATTATTCTATTTTTCAATGGCTCTTCCAACCCATTCAGAGCCCAGGCCTCTTATTAAGTTCCTTAATCATTATTCACAGACGGTAGGACTCCTTAGGAGAGTGATCAGCCTGTCGCAAGGTCTCTACTTAAACAGAGGATAACAAAAACACAGCATAAACGCATACACACACCAAACATTTATGCCTTAAATGGGATTCGAACCCACGATCCCGGCTTCCGAGCAAGAGATGATAAGTGCATGTCTTAGACGAAACGGCTACTTTGACGGGCCACGAATTACTATAGCCCTTTGTTTATTCATTTTGAAAGCTAGAGATAAGTTACATGTAATATTTCTGTTGCTTTAGAAATGCATACAGAATTTTAATAGTAAAATACGTATGGAAGAGATAAATTAGATTCTTGTGGGAGGATAGTATATAATATTAAAAGGTTTCTTAGAGGTAATATGGCGTGAGTGTGAGAACTTGATTCATATGGCTCAGGATAGAAACCACCGACGGAATCTTTTGAACGTGAAAATAAGTTAATTAATAATTAATACCTGCTTCTAACTACCAGTCAAATTTACGATAACTACCCATAAAATTATTCTTTATCCAGCCGAAATTAATCTGAGAGGATCCTGAGGTTTTGAAAATGGTAGTTGGAAAAAATGGACAGGCGAAAAACATGACCTCGTCTAGAAAGTCAGGAAAGCTATGGAAACGTTAATTAGGAAGTATGTAAAGTGACGTTTTTGTAATATCTTTGATAGGCAGTAACAATCTTTAAAAGACACCTGCTTCATTATTACAGAATATAGCATGTCTTATAGGGGTGAATTTCTTATCTTAAATTTTTTATTATTATGACTCTACAGCCCTTTGTCGGGCCTTGGCCGCTTTTTAAGTTTCTTCACTCTGTACACAGCTGGTAGGTTTCCTTGGACAGGGGGTCAGCCCGTCACAAGGCCTCTACCTGCACACAGAACAACACAAGCACAGAATACATGCACACAGACATCCATGCCTCAAATGGAATTCGAGCCCACGATCCAAGTCTTTGAGAGGGCGAAGACCTGACGGTCCCTGTGATCGGCAATCTCAAGAATTAACAACGAAATATTCCTCAACATCATTAGCAAAATTAACTTCGTTATAAATATGCGGTGTATTTTCATAGAGGCTGGGACCCGACATTTATGTACCCTTCAGTTTAGCTTCGCGTTCTGAACGGTAAAATACAACGCTTTCTATACACGAAACTTTTTTCCTTGGCACTACAGCCCCAGCGGGCCTAGGCCTACCTCCATGAACTTCTCCGTTCACTTCGGGTTTTCTAGATCTTACACAGTCGGTAGGACTCCTTGGGCGGGCGATTAGCTCGTCGCAAGACCTCTACCTGTACACAAACACAGAAAGAACACACACACAAATTAACATCCATGCCCTGAGTGGGATTCGAACCCACGATCCCGGTTTCCAAGCAAGCGAAGACAGTAGATGCCTCGGCTACCGTGACCGGCTTTTCATGAAACTTAAACTGGCATATTGTTCAATATTTAACAGAACTTGGTGAGAAGTTATTAATAAAATTGCGCTATTGATTATATTAAAATTTCTGCCTCTTACTGACCGTATCCGCACTAATTCGATAATACAATACACAGTGTAGACTACAAGCAAACCACATTTCGCCTAAGCTCACATGGGTCATCATCTACAACAGACAACATACTCGTACAACAGAAACACATATCAGCCAAGTTTAGCAAAAATCCTTAGTGCACTGCTGCTACGAAAGACAGAGAACTGGCTGTTGTTAGCAGGTGCGAAGGCCAAAGACTATAGAGCCAAGCGTAAATTTGTTGTATCTCAACTCCCCTCCCTCTGAAGAGGCAAGGTGTAAGATCACCTTGTTCTACGCTCCTGACCTGTATTTCCACCCCTCGGCCAGACATGTGTTGACTACTAATGCCAGAAACCTTGCATTGGTGTATTTCAAGGAAGAGGGAATTAAAAGGGTCGTAAACACACGAATTTATATTCTTGTGGTAAGGGTCTCTGAATGTAGATAGGATAATTGCATTGGAACAGTCCACATTCAATTCTTCGTGAATTAAGTTTTCATCACGCAAGTAAAATGCTTTTTACCTGTTTAGCTACAGACATACAGCCATGAGAGACGCCTGTTCTATTGATGACTCTAAGTGTGAGATAGGTGTTGATTCGTATCCGTGAGGTTTCCGGTTCGTAGCTCGGTCGGGAAGCCAACTATATTGATTAGTTTCATTGCTTGAAGTATTGAATATATGAACGAAGTAAAGGATTACAGTCAACGAACAATGAATGACAGATGTTTCAAGAGCGAATTTATATATGGGTGCATTTCTATACAGCATACATGGAGATATGAAAGATTAGATAAGAACATATATGGAGAGGCAGATACACACGGCATTCTAATATTAAAATTTTCCTATGCTACAAGCTGGAAGGTTGCGGGTTCAAGTCCCGATGAGGTCATTGGATTTTTTCAGTTGACCTAATCCTTCCAGCCGCACTAGGCCCTGGGGTTTACTCAGCCTCTAACATAAATGAGTACCAGGAATTAATTAAATAATTTTCCTGGGGAGTAAAGCTCGGCCGGCGCGTAAGGCTGACAACCTTACTGCCATCTTTGAGCCGATTGTCTAGATAATGTGGGACCCTCAACGTCTCACAGCCCTATGGGCCTTCACGGCCTGTTACAGGAATAGCTTTACTTTTGCTTTTTTAATTTTACGTCATAGAAATAGATTTTAGATGGGATTTAACTGGCATAGCATCAGATCCAACGCCCGGATTATTTGAACTCGGTTCCATAAATGGCTGGGAATATTATGACTAGTTGAATGAAGCGAACCTCGCTGCGGGAAATTTATTACTTATGTAGAATAATTCCGACTAGTTTGTGTTACGTACACAAAGCAAAACAATTCCATGTGTGAACATAAGCAGGTAATGTTTCATGTTTCGTGGGAAATCCTCTTCAATAGGGAATTAGGGAATTAATTTAGTAAAATGACGGCGGATATGGTGGCAAAGGGATAAACTGTGAAGCGTACTGCGGTCTAATCGATTGGAGTGTTTTAAGTGTGGAACAGCATTAGCTCATTGTGCGGTCACGGAATCTATATTAACTTATCAGGAATATTGTTATTGCTATAACAGCATTAAGCATGGAGTCGCAAATCACTATTGATTTCGACATTTTCGACAGAAATTCTCTATATGATACAAAATATAGCAGATGTGTTCTGAATTAATGCGTACGCGTGATGTGTCCTATTGGTGAAAATGCTCCTTTAAACACGAAATTATTCTAATGTTTCATGACTGCTCTTTATTACTATATTACAATTTAGCACGGAATCCTATTCTGTATTTAAGCATCCTGCTGGAAATAATATCTAATAGTGTTTATCGTAATACACAGTCCGTCAACAATGCAACAAATTATTGCTTCTTTCTTATACTTTCACTTTCCACACAGCATGTTTCGGCACTAATGTCCAACTTCAGGTGTCTTACAGATTGCAGACGTTACACAACAACGGGCTTAGAAATATAGAAACAGGCTTTCGCAATAAAACATCTGAAGTAAGAGATCAAAGCAAGTGGACGGCGCCCCTTGTGAGGAATTTTACAAGATTTGTAGAAAGTTTTAATAGATTTTATTTGATTTAAATTAAGTGAAATACAGGATGTGCTATTTTAGCTCATACAAATTGACTACGATTATGACGTTTAAAGCATGAAGCGTGTAGTCGCATATGTGACGAATGGATAATATTAGTGCAGTTTTAGCATAGTAAGACACCTGAGGATGGCCATTTAGGGGCGAAGCATGTGTCGAAAGTGTAAGAAAGAAGGAACAATTTGTAACATTTTTGACCTGCTGTGCAGTACAATAAACAGTATTAGACGGAATCTTACATTGCTATTGATTTTTATATCATTCTGGATGGAAAGTCTACATGACAGAATCTTTAACTAGACATCTGTTGAATTAATGTGTTTGTGAATTTTCGTATTAGTGACTAGAAACAAAATTATATTACATTTTAATGAATATTGTTGTTATTGCAATGGCATAAAACGTGAATTTGAGTAACGTAATTGATTTGTATATACTTCGGAAGGAAAGTCCATATGATAAATACTACCAGCCAGACATAGCTGGAATTAATTTTTGACTGTGAAATTTCATGTTAGTGTTACTGTACTAGCAACAGCAAAATAAAAGCTTGTCTTTCTGGTTAGGTGCTCTAAAAACGTGGATAATAGGTTTCAAAAGTTAAGATATCGTTTAAATTTATAATCGAAATGAGACTAATATGTTTACATTCTGTTATATATATTTATTGTGTGCTTTATTAGTACAGACACAAAAATCCTTAATATCAATTTAAATTCACATTACAAGAAATTATATTTTGCAAGTTTAGTTTTATAATGAAGATATTAATTGATCAGAATTTTCATACGTCCTCTTCACTCTGCGGAAACCTGCAACAGGGAACACAGCATTGAGAATTCTTCGTATGCTTGCAGCTCAGCCTCTCTTTTCTTTCGTAAGGAATAAAGAGAAACAGGTAGGATTTAAATATTGCGCTCATTGTAAACAATTGAACTGTTGTAGAAAATGAAGTTCTGACGGTGGTGCTTGTGAAGCGTACTCTCTTCTGGGATATGTCATCCGAAGTTTCGGAGTAATAAATCGCCTGCATGTTCAGAGTCAAAGAATATATGGAGCAAGAAAATAATGTGGAAGCAAGAGCCAAACAGAAACTTTCTTGTCATCTGTTTCACGCTGGTTTCTTCCTCTGCTTATTCTTCAACACAGAAGATGGAGGCGATATATTGTTTCGAAACGTCGATCGATTTTCAACAGACTACAAGACGTTATATCGGAGACGACAGCGCAAATTAACTGAAATATTTTTGTATTCTCTTCCGGTTCCTCTGGTTCTCATTTTGTTCCAGAATCAACAATACTTACTTCAAGATGGTTTCGTTCATATTGTTACAGTAAAAGTTCTGATTGATATAAAGCTCAAATCGAAATCGATTTAATCTAAACATGAATCACCGTGAAAAGTATTTTTACAGATACAAATATATAAATGATTTATAATTTAAACATTTCTTCATAAGAAAAACTTTAACAAATTTAATGAGAATTAATTGCATTCCTCAACACTGTTCTCCAACAATGGCTGATTTAATCTAAAATAAATTAAAATGAAGACAAAACGGGGAAGAAAAATCACATAAGATGCATTTTGGATCTACAAGACAATTATATTCAGCAACAAAAAGTACTATTGCACATTGGTTGTTCTTTATAGTAATCCTTTGAGACAATAAGTGAAGATGACAATCTCGAAGCAACGGATTTTCTAGAATATTTATCTCGGTATCTGTGAATGAGATTTGCCCGAAATATGTACTACAGAGACCTGTTTGGTTCGAAGAAACACAGGCCGGCCGTGACGGACATGGCATCAAAGCGCAGCGGTCATGCAACAATGTGCAGAACTGACCAGGGGGACATCTGTAGCGGTCACAGGATCCTGTATGCCCAAAATAAAAAGCAAATATAAAGCAATATGTTGAACTTACACTTATAATATACCTAGAATTGTTCCTTTGCAATTTCTTCCTTACGCAGTATATAGTAGCCATCTCTACGGCAATTACTCAAGATTAAAATAGAACCGACAACAATGCAATTATATTGGTTATAATATTTGCTATATTTGATATAATTAATTGTGACACCGTTTTCTGATTTATTCCATTTTTAAGTAACTATTGTGTACAAAGGCTAATTGGATTGGTCATGTTTTACGCAGAAACTGCCTTCTGAAAGAAGTTATTGAAGGAAAGATAGAGGGGCGGATAGAAGTGACCAGAACACGAGGAAGAAGACATAAGAAGATGCTGGATGACCTTGGAGTCAGAAGAGGATACTGTCATTTGAAGGAGAAAGCTCTAGATCGCATTAAGTGGAGGAATTGTTTTGGAAGAGACTGTGGACCTGTCGTCTGACAGATTACTGATGATGATGATGATGATGATGATGATGATGATGACTGTGTACAAGACTACTATAAACCATGATTTTATAACACAACAGGATGCAAAGAGTAAATACATCTGCTATTTATGCGAGAAATTTCTGAATAAATATTGTTTAAATATTGAACATCTATTAAGATAAAATATCATTATATTTCGAGATGTATCTGTGGGTAATCATAAGGCACTTCACTTGGAATAACTTGCATCGGAAGAGGTTTGAATTTTGTCCTCCTGATAAGTAAAATTCAATACCACTGAACAATTCGTTGAGGTAGAAGTGTACATTATACGTAATAAGATGTCAGTACATGCAATCAATTTATATCGAAAGAGGTAATATCTTAAATCATATTACGGGAACAAAATGTCTCCATCGAATTGCTTAACTAATCTTAATTAACAATTCGAAATAAAATAGGTTCTTGGGAAGTGAATAGACATAGTTAAAATAAAAAAAAATTCTCTCGTATTTTGAAACAGAAGTTTCACTCTTATGCTGAATAACCTGAACACTGGCCTCTGTCCTGAGCCACAATATGTTTCTTTAAGATCATTCTTAATATTTTCACCATAAATACGCCCAGGCGTTGCGAGTGTTCATGTCTCTTCAGAAATTTAAACAATTTCTTTTTACGAATTTGTAACCTCTTCCATAAGTGCCAAGTACCCAGCCCATCACAAGCTCCTTGAATTGATCGTTCGAACAGAATTTGGTGGAGAACACACATTTCGTGGGTCCTTGTCACGCAGTTACCTCCATCCTCTTGCTATTCTGTCCACCCCCCACTCAAATACACTCAGTCTGTTTTGCTACCTTTGGATGAGAAAACAAGTTCCGCTTCAACACAAAGAAACAAGTTCAATACAAATTTCTTCCTCTGTGCCTACGAGACATGGAGATAAATATTCTGAATTGGATAGTAGCAAAGCATTATTGTGTTCAATTTTCGTGAATATCATTGTAAAGCCTGCTTCTGTAGTCTAGTGGTCAGAGTTCCTGGCTACAGATCTAGAGGTCGCTGGTTCGATTCCCGGCGCTAACAGATTTTATGAAAAGTAATGGGTCTGGAAAGGGTTCCACTCAGGATAATTGAGGAACTATTTCAAGGAAGTAGCGTCTCCGGTCTAGAAAACCGAAATTAACCACCGTGGGGATCCGTTTCGCTGACCACGCGACACACTCTATCTGCTAAGGTTGCCACTAACTTCACCGATAAGCTGCTGTCGCTCGGTCGGTATGGTTCGCTTGCGGACTGAAGGCTACGGAGTGTATAGATTGTAAGCAACACACAGGACAGTGGCGCACTTACCTGTTAGTGACCGCTTTGGGGAACGGCAGGTCGGGTAACGGTCGCATTGTCCTCTGAAGTCACAGCCACCTAGTTCCATCACACACACTTCCTCTCTCAGACAGCGAATGCCGTTACATGTCCGTCGGTCGCCTGGAATTCAAATGTCATTATTCTGCGTTGCTATGACAGCTTATTAACACAGCAGTTCAGTTACAATACTCACATAGCCGTGTTCAAACTGAGCAGTCATTACAAAGGGTACTATTGCCTTGTACCATGCATGAAATCTATCTACATTTTGGAGAGATATTACTGCTTCTGTCTTCAGGATCAAAGAACAAGAAGTATGTCACAGAATTTTCTGTTTCCTTGACTTAATCATGGCCACTGAAAATGGACGCAATTAATTAATCCGTAAGGTGATTTTATTGCTTCTAATTACAAAGCGTCGTGTCTCAGAAGCCTGTCTCTCTGTGTAAGTATCCTTTACGCTGTAATATTTTTATCAACTAATTCAAAGATGCTGAATATATGTAGAAATGCATTCAGTCATGACGGAAAGAAAGAAAGAAATACCCAGAGCAAGATGACCCAGTCGATGTTTCCGCCTTTCATCGGGAGATGTCGGTTCCAGTCTCGCCCTGGGCACCCACTATCTGACAGATGTTTTGTTGTTTTCCTCAAGTCCTCCAGGAAAATTCTGGGATAGTTCCTTAACTTGGGCTACGATCGACCCCTTCCACATTAATTACAATCAACTATCATCCCTTTATTCAAGGCAATGTACTCTGAATCATGGACAGTGTCCCTATGTAACCCACAAATGAGAAAGAACTGATCTGTTTGACTTCCTGCAAGAAACAAAGTTCCCCTTTCTTTGTGCAACTACAACAATGAGTCGGGTTAGATACTAACACTGAGTCTTTGTTAATATAATTTAAGTAAATTTTCATATACAATTTACTGCAAATAGAATTATGAGTCACGCAACATTTGAATTATTGAATTCCGAATATGTGAGGTTTCCATTTATATAGGGGTGCACGCGATAGCGTAGTGGTTGAGGCACTATGCTACAAGCCGGAAGATCGTGGGTTCAAGTCCCGATGAGGTTATCGGAT